GCACACAAGCTTACATATCACGGCGGAGCTCGTGTTACATTGGCCTTCATACGTAACAAGTTTTGGATAGTTGGCGGAAATAGTATAACAAAACAGTTATTACGGCGTTGTGTCACATGTAAGCGCCAAAAACCAGAAGGACGTTATCAAATAATGGGAGATCTACCAGAAGCAAGGGTAAACCAATCACGCCCCTTCGAGCATACAGGGATAGATTTCACGGGTCATGTTGACGTCAAGAGTAACAAAGGTCGGGGGATTAAAACCAGCAAGGGTTATGTAGCAGTCTTTGTTTGCATGGTGACGAAGGCTGTCCACCTCGAACTAGTTTCGGACTTGACGACTTCAACACTCCTAGCAGCTGTACGAAGAATGGCAGCGCGAAGAGGCACTCCCAGCCACTTCTACAGCGACAACGGTCGAAACTTCGTTGGTGCAAGCAACGTATTACAGCAAGCTTATCAAGATTTACAACACATAATCAATGACGAGTTTTTGGCAGAGATAGCCAATATGGAGATTACCTGGCATTTCAACGCTCCATCATGGCCTTCAGCAGGAGGATTATGGGAGGCTGCGGTAAAGAGTTTTAAATTTCATTTCAAGAGGGTGATTGGTGATCAAAAGCTCACCTTCGAAGAGCTGACGACTCTACTCAGCCAGATAGAAGCATGTCTAAACTCCAGGCCACTCTGTGCAATGTCGGAAGACCCAGCAGATTTGGATTATATAACACCCTCACACTTTTTGACAGGGGGTCCTACTTTGACACTAATAGAAACTGAATATGACTTACGGACTAGATGGCATCTAACTCAAAAAATATTACAAGATATTTGGAAACGATGGCGAATGGAATATTTGACAGAATTAAATAAAAGAAGCAAGTGGAAGCAGCCTCAAAGAAATATTAATTTAGATGACGTGGTACTAATTCACGATGGTAACCTGCCGCCTGGCAAGTGGGCAATGGGCAGGGTCACGGAACTGCATCCAGGCAAGGACGGATTTGTTCGGGTCGTGACCTTGAAAACCAAGAGCGGTGTAATCAAGCGTCCTGTCGTTAAGCTGTCATTATTATTGGAACATGAAAATAATCAAGATCTTTCCAGCCACCATGCACGACAAGTGGAAAAAACAAAGCAACGGACTGGAGAGGAAAAATACAAAACACAAAGAAGCACCTACAACCTGATGTCGTTCTTTACCGCTCTACTACTATTTTTCACATTCTTATCAAGTTCAGAAGCTCAAGTCAATATCAAACAATTTCCATCAAATCAAAGCCTATTTTTTGATAAAATATCCGACATGATGGTGATCAAGGATGACTGGAAATTAGTTGTTTATTATAACATGGAACCCTACTGGCAAGGCGTTAATTCATTCAATCGATATATACAAACATTGAGCCAAACATGTGCTAATATCAAGAAACAATCACACTGCGACATAATACTAATGCAATTACAACACGGCTTCTCGGAATTGGAATACTACGATCATATGTTGCTGAACCAGCATGCGAGCACGCGCCCTGCGAGACTGCGTCGGCGCCGGCGAGGCCTTATCAACGGTGTCGGCTATGTAGCTAATAGCCTGTTCGGCGTGTTGGATGAAAGTTTTGCTGAAAAATATGAAAAGGACATCCGCATGGTACAAGAAAACCAAAAACACTTATCATTACTTTGGAGAAATCAAACATCAGTTATTGAGGCCGAATTTAACTTATTAAAACGAACCGAAGACATAATGAATAAACAATACAAGTTGATAAACAAACACATGATTGACCTGGACACAGCCCTAAACAAGTTGAAAGGAAACATAGAGACAAGTTACATAATGAGCGATTTTAATACGGGAGCTATTATTGCAAATAATATGTTACAAGTGTTGAAAGGCATTCAAAACACTTTATTAGATACAGTTACCGATATATACCATGGCCGATTTAACTTACATTTGCTTACTCCAGAGCAACTTACGAACGAATTGAGTAACATCGCAAGCAAGTTACCGAAAGATGTGTCTTTACCTATCGACAATATACATACGGAGCTGCGAAAAATTTATAACTTACTTCAAGTAAAAACAAGGATGTTAGAAAATATACTTATATTTGAGATAAAGATACCCCTTATCGGCCGTGACTCATACGAACTTATGAAGATGAGTGCTGTACCAAAACAAGTTGGTAATAATATGGTCAGCATCATTCCAGTATCGGACTATATTGCCATTAACATTAAGAAGGATGCCTACATGCTTATGTCTAATTGGGACATACGGTCATGCATTATAACCACGGATTACTATTTATGTCACGTGCAGAAGCCTATTTATCAATTAAGAGATGATAAGAATTTCTGCGAAATAGAAAAATCACAATGCAAGACCACAATAACAACATGCAATAATTATTGGCAAGAAAGTCACTCTACAAATACATTTGTATATTTTTGCTGCGGACGGTGTCAAGTTCGCGCTATGTGCGAAGATCATATGACGGGACATCAGCTGTTAGAGGCCGGCCTTGTACATATAGGTCAGGGATGCATTTTCAAGACTGATGATTTTACGGTTTCTTCGCATAAAGGAGCTTACAGTGAAACGAAGGTGGTTCCCGATATTTACAATTTAGAGCTGGCCCCGATAAATAATATCATCAACTTGTCACTGGCGAACTTCACTTTGAAAAATGAGTCACTTCATCAAGAATTGCAACAAGTGCAAACAGACATACAAGAGCTCAAAGAGTCGAATATATCGATGGAAGAAGTATCACTTCATGATATCCACCACTACACCATGATTTACGGAATAGTGGCTGTGATTGGTATCGCCGCATTAACGTATGCAGTTCGGAAATTCAAGTGTTCCCGCTGCGCCTGGCGAGTGCCGCGTGCGATCGACACCGACGCTGAACCGACGCCGGCCGACGCGCCCCGAGACATCGTCGCTGCGCCTGCACCCGCGCCCGCGCCCTCCTACGCCGTCCCGCGTGTCTCCCGACAACGTGCTCCACGACAACAAGGAAACCGCGCCATTTTTGAATTATAAAATTTATTTAATCATGATTTATTTCTTATATCAGTTATTGTAATTTATTTTATATCAATGTAACATTTCAGTAATTGTGTGACAACATTGACTGGGTCCGTTATGTCCTGTTTTCATCTCGCGCCCTGGAATATGTACGATCAAATCGTACATTTTGCAAGCAAAGCATTTAATTGTTTAGGTCAATATTTTACCGTTTAAATACATTTCATAATCACGTCCAAGTTAGTTCGCGTTTGTCTCAAGCAGTGTGCACACAGTTACATCAAGTTTAATAATAAATATTTTCGTCAAGTTTATCAAGTGTTTTCCTGTCTTCAATATCAAGAAATAGCAATTCAATGTACTGAGTTGACAAGGGCTCGTACAGTCTGTAAAATCGAAATTCTCGAATAGCCCTACTGAAACATCAATATGACTTGAAAATGGTTTAGCTGCTGCGGGTTTCCAAAATTCTTAGTTCGTGTGGTTCAAGCCCAAAGTTTTGAATTTATCGTTCCAACCCTAACTATGGCTAAAATCTCATTTATTTCGTTTGTACGAGCAGAATGAATGTGAACAAAGCAGATAGCGGTCTGAGTATCAAAATAAAATATTTACGTAGGTTTTTTACGTACTCTCATTATCATATACCCGTTGGCGGTCGGTAACATCCCGAATATTTTTTTTAATTTAGATTCGTTATTTGAGTATCATATTTGTATTATTACATCCAGGGTGTACAAACAAAACAAAAAAGAGTGTACAAAGAAAACAAAAAAGGGTGTACAAACAAAAAAAAAGACATAAATTAAAGATGTATTACTTTGTTATAAATCGGACTCGCTCACGAATGATTCCGAACAATTAGCTATAAAACATTAGACACTACAGGGTGTAAAAAACCTATAACGAAGTCGAGAACCACGTATTTTCCACATCATGACGATAATTTTTTTCTTCTGGACCATACCTGGGAAATTTATGGTTATAGAAATATTGAAGCTCAAAGTCATATTTTTTTTTCAAGATGTATACATTAATCAAAACGTTATTTAAAAACTTTTATATCGACGCACTTACACACGCGCACACACATACACACAGTGTGTGTATGTGTGTGCGCGTAGCGCCACAGTAGCAAATCGCGCTATACATAGCGTACTGGAAAAAAATCTAATTATTTTAACTTAAAAATACAAATGATTCCCACGTATAAGATTTTGTAATATCACTTGTTTGGGTGTACAGAATTCGTAGTTTTAGTCTTTGTCATAGGTTTTTTTACACCCTGTATATTAAAATAACGAGCAAAAAACAGCAAAAAATTTCATCTGTTTTATGGGATTCCCCCTTAAATATTTAGTAGTTAGATTTAATTATTTATTTTGAAAGCGAATAAACATACTACTATCAATATATTTTTCAAGCGTTGCCGTCATTAATTAGAGCAACAAATGACAAAAAATCACGTTTGTTGTATGGGAGCCTCCCCTCGAATATTTACTTTATTCTGTTTTAAGTATTTGTTGTTAAAGCGGCAACAGAAACATTGTGAATATCTTCCAACTTCGTTATTAATTTACTTTGTACCTAATTATATTTATTAACTTACTACAACTTATTTTATAGACTTACTTGATAGATGAAATTATATTGTAAAAAATTAGTAGTTTTTCGCTGTACAATATCGTATTTTATCAGCTGTCCTAATGTTTTGAGCAGCCTATATATTACTTTTAACACCTAGTACGTACAAATCAAGTAAAACATCACAATTTGTTGAAATGTTAACTTTTAATCACTGTTTAAACTATTGAACCCAATTTTGATTGGGATTTTATAATCATTGATCCTTCATACCTGATAAGTTTAGTAATGACCATTAGATTACGAGAATTAACAACGCTTAAATTAATCAGTGAATTCATTGATTTTTTTCTGATTTCTGTGTTTAGGGCACATGTGTGAAGGGGCAATGCAATAATACCGACTCGGATTGCAATTGGTGCCCCGACGGATACTGCAACAACAATACGCACGAGTACTCCAGAATGCTTGGAAAAGGTAAAAATAGCCATTTGTAAATTGCAGAATAATTAAATAAGTTATGTAGATCTCAACCAAGTTCGAAAAAACGGGCGATTACATAGCTTTAGTTGGAAATATGTTAATTTAGACAATTTGAATCTTTTTACTATTTTTGTAAGCTTAGCACATTCATATGAAACATTTTCTTCCTTAAAGGTTAACTAATATTTTAGGTTATTTAAAAACAAAAAAACTCCTTTTTGAAAGCGAAAGCACGGTAATATTAATAATCCTTAAAGGTAATATTAATAATATTACCGTGGTGAAAGAGCATCAAGTGTGATCTTTCAGAGAAAATTATTTTGGTATAATATTAAAAGATTTAATATACCAACTACACTTGATATTCAAGAATAGAAAGAGCATTATCACAGCTACTCGACGATGACGTCAAATTTGTTTTTAGTCGGATCTATGGAGTTGTGCAGAAACAAGTTTTCTTAGATTTAGCATAAAGGGTTTTAGTATGTGTTATTTATCTTTAGGTTGGACCCGTATGGCAGTTATTCCACACGACGCCCATCGAGTCTCTGTCCACATAACAACCCCCGTAACCCTGAAACTCGCTACCCGTGAACGAAAAAGGGACAGACACATACTCGAGTTGAGCAAACACAGCAAACGTTTCCAAATAGACAACTACCAAGATAGCTACTGGAAATACGATCAGAATGTACCACAGAATTTGCAGATTGTAGAATTCGATAACAACGTTATTGATATTAAGGAAGGAGTGCATTACGCTTGGGAAGGTTTCGCCGTGGCAGCTGGAGCGCTTCTGAGGTGGAGACAGACTGACAGTGATATTTATATCACCGCCGATTCGAGGCTTCAGACGGATTTAATGATTATGGTAAGTTGAGTATCGGGTTGATTTAACTTATTTCGATTTACTGCTATGTACCTTCATACTTAGTTTTATATCTTTTCCGTTACATTCCTACCAAGTTCATATACGATCTGTATAAGTAACTATGACCGTTACATCGCTCTTTATACTTTTATGTTTTATTTGTGCGACTTAATTCTCTATTAATTGTTAAGTAATTAGATAACAAAATCGCATGCATCGTAACAAGCACAGGTATACGTAAGAGGGGTAATAGACATTTTATATACAGGGCGTCCCACGGGTACCTCACACGGAGGGAAAGTATATTAAATATTGAAGGTAGGATATTTTACCGAAAGAAGACATTATTTTATTTTTAATTATAACTAGAACTGCATTCACAGATTTTTTTAAAATCGCCTGCGAAAAAAAAAACACTACATGTTTTATGATAACCATCGAAAGAGTTAATCATAACAATTATTTTTTGCTCAATAACATAGCATTTTAAATGAAAGAAAAGTCATAAAATTACACATTTTATTAAAATTATTAAACAAAAAGTATTAAAAAACGAAATGTATCAAATGTTCAAAATGTGATCCGATTTGTTGTATGCAAATTCTCACTCTATTAATGTTTTCTCTGCCTGTCGATTTCATTATCTTTGCGTGGTGAATGTTTGTAATAATACGTCTGAGTTATTTTGTAACTCCTGCACACTGTCTTACCGGTTCTTGTATACTACATCTGTTACATAACCCCACAAAAAAAATCCAGTGGGGTAAGATCTGGGAATCTCGCTGGCCATCTTATTTGTCCATAAGAACCGATCCAGGAAGGAAAGTGTTCATTAAGAAACTCGGAAGTTCTCCTACTTTATGAGTCCCATTTTGCTGGAAAATAAGATTTCGTCGATTTGCATCAGAAATATTATTGATCTCACCTCTTAAAATATTAAATATTTCTAGATATCTTTCCGTATTTAGATTCCCTTTGTAAAAATGTATTAAGAGAACCGTGTTTTAAACTAAAATGAAAAACACAAAAAAAGAACAGTATCCCACGAACCGATATCAAATTCGAATAGTTTTCGAGTGCGAAATGTCATTGTCAAATGTGTACTGATTTTTAGTTCTCGTTACATACTTGCTGTATAAGTTTCCATACAAAATTTGACATTGACATTTCACACTCGCAAACTATTCGAATTCGATAATGGTTCGTGCTAGGGGTGCAGACGCTTGAAAATGTATGTGTTCTATTTTCGAATTGTTACTTTTACAAATTTCAGCCAATCGCATTGTAACTGAGTTCAAAAAGAAATGCATACGTACTGCAGTTTGTATATCACTTTATTCTTTTTATCACGTAATAAGACATTCCTTTCATTTAAAATGCTATGTTAATTAGTAAAAAATAATCTTTATGATAAACCCTATAAACCCTTTCAATGGTTATCATAAAATATGTCGTATTTTTTTTTCGAATTTCACGAGTTTGATTCCCAATTGTAGCAGTCGATTTAAAAAAAACCTGTGAATGCTGTTCTAGTTATTATCAAAAATGAAATGATGTCTTCTTTCAGTAAAATTAATTGTTTGGTGAAACTGTATTTATATATATATATATATATATATATATATTATGTTGACTTTTAAGTCGTATAACCACGTAAAAATGTAACTTTAAAGCTCAACATGTAATTTACCTAATAAATATTTTCGTGCAATGAAATAATGATGTTAAGCAGACGTGGGACCAAAAGGGTTTCTTTTCAACTTAAAGGTGCGTCGGGCCTAAAAGATTATAGTGCCATTTAGTTATACGGACTTTCAGTAATCACTAAAGCGTACCTACATAACAACACACTAGGCTGAAGGGCAATTTGTAAAAGGTGATGGTGTGGTGACTAGCATAGCGGCTAACCCGAATGATGCGAAGGTACAGTTTTCCTTAAAGCTGCAAAAAACAGATTATTCTATCGTGAAAAAAAAGTTGTAAAATCCACGAAAAACCGGGTTTATTTCTGGGGCAAGTTTTTTTCACGAGTAAGTATAGAAAAATACTCGCATCCCCCGCATTTTATAAGGCAGAGAAATATCAACTAAATATAGGTATCTTTTAAAGTTTGACTTGCATCGTGGTTTGTCACATGTACAATCATTTTATTTTATTAAATGCAAAATGTTATTGTCAATATGTTACACTTTCATATCGTCCCAATCATTGAACCGGTAGTCGTGGGTACCAGCAAGTATATTATATAAACTTTGAATAAAACTTTATTGCTGCAGGTACCTATTGTGTAAAATTTCAAAGTAGCCGTCACGTGAAGTCCTTCAAATGTAAAACGACATAAAGGCAATCGTAAGCGTTATTCTTCTGTCACGTGATACAAGTTGCTTTTACTGTCTAGACGATATAAAAATAAAAAAAAAACAAATGCCTCGGGTAACAGATGGGATGTATGCTGTATGTAACTTTTACTGCCGATGAATTGAGCTATTGAGATCAGGGTGGGTCGTTAGTAACTGATATAATACACATTATGTGTTTACTTCTCAAGTAATAGAAAAAATTAAAAAGCAGTAACAAAAGGAAAATAAATTAATAAAATCCTTTTGTTCCTGCTTTTTATTAAACCAAAGATATATTGGAATTTGTCCAGATATTTTCATTAGGAGATTCTATAAAAATCTGTCTTATAAGACAAATATGGTATAACATACTAGGAGGCTGGAGTCTAATCCCACAATTACATTTTATCCCTCTCCCGATCTCAATTGCTTATGTAAATTAACGAAATTACCAAGTATAAATGAATGGGGCTTAGTACTTAGTTGTCGGACAATCTCGTCCAGCTATTTTTTTTGAGCAGTGTTTCAAGTGACGATGTGATTATGGTTTTATAGTAGTTAAGTTAAGTTAAGTAGTGGGTGCCCAAAACTTTGTGCGGAAAAAATGGTTTCTCATACCAACTTGAAACTCGTTTTCATCCCGCTAAAATTTGATTTCTGCGGTACAAACTATCTGATGTTTCATATGTTCTTTTCCGGGACTTAAACTATCTCTATATTAAATTTAATCTCAATCAGTTCACTGGTTTAAGCATGAAGAGGTAAACAAACATTTCGCATTTATATTATTAGTATGGATGTGGTGCCGATTCTCACTGCCCCCTTGATTCTCATATCCCAAGCCGCTTATTTCGCCCTACGCTGTTGCTGCAGCCATGAACTAAGTTTAGCGTGGTGAAGCGAAGCATCCGGTGATGAGGGTTGCCCTAAATTATTCACGGAGCTTTCAACTCACCGCCGATGTTAATTGAGAACTGCGACTTTACATCTCATTTCCTTTTGCTCGTTTTATTCAAAAAAGGGGATTTCACAGGTCTATTTTTTAACCTACATTTATTTTTGTTTGAAGTTTTATGTTTTCCGGAATGTGAATGTTCCAGTTAAACCTTGTTCCGTGTTTGAAAGGAATTTTCAATTTTCAAATGCATAACTTTTTCCTGAATTCCGTAATACCTACAAGTGTATTTTCTAGAATTTTTATTTTTTGCTGTGCTAGACTATCGTTCGACTACATGACTTTAACATGTGAAATAACTAGTTGGTGAATACAGGAAATTTTTGATGAAACGGTCAACAAGAAAAACACCCCGACTTTTTAATCGATCTTTCATTTTATTGCTCCAAAAGAGGCACATTGTACCTGGCAGTTTTGGTTTGAGGTCTTTAGATAGAAATAAATCAGCCATACTCGCGAAATCTTACCCCAACTGTCTGACATTTTTTCGTGAGTTGGGCAATTTTTACACGGATGAGAATGTTTTTGCTCAGCAAACAGTACAAAATGCCTTTACACGGGCTTCGGAGTCCTTTTCTACAGAGTTCTCTCACAAAAGTTTAAATGATTGTCACCAAAGCTAGGTATTTTTTTTTATATAAATAATGTGCCTAAGAATTACATTCGTCCCAAAGCAATATTACTTTTATAAGCATGAAATAGTACATTGTTCACCGAGGGGAAAAAAGGGACCTATTACTACTTTCATTCGAGGGATACAGAGTGCTTTATACTGTACCTACGAGGAAATATTGCAGTCATTAAAACGTAGTGTAGATTTGGTCTAGTCCGGATAAGGACCAGTGCGGATTAGGACCAGTACCGATTGGGCCCTGTGCCGATCGGGACCAGTGCGGATTGGGACCAGGGCAGATGGGTCCAGTGCAGTGTCGGTGAGGAGATTATGACGATGATGAAAATAGGAAACAGTCGGATATAGATTTGGTACTTACTGTATTCTAATCTTGAATATAATAGTTTTCTGGTTTTCGTTGTAAAAATATTGTTTTGGAACGAATTTCCTTTTCTAGCGGTATGAACTAGAAGACAAAAAAACGGACATGTGCTGTTCGCATGCGATAGAAGTGAAACCTACAAAAATGTGAACACGTAAATGTCCTTCATGACTAGGTCATCTTAAAGACATTCATGTATACAACACACCTGTGCTAAAATTCAACTATCTAGGTCAAAATTAAATATTTTATACTGAAATTGTTTCGAAAAATAAATAATAGCTTAATAAAGGAAAAAAAATCAATTAAAAAATTACCGAACTCAGGATCGAACCACCGATCGTTTGGTGTCGACCCCAACACCGTTACCGTTCGGCTATCTGTCGCTTGGAGAGAGTTACAAAATTACGGATACCTTATGTCAAAATAGTGTCGCTTTTTCGTTTCATCGAGTTTCAAATCACAACGGCGCTAAAAAAGTTTTCACTTCAAAAAGTGTAAGATTTTTCCGTTACAATCGTCAGTTGTTTTGCATCACATTGTGTGTAGTTGTGTACATAGACTAGTATTTATTTTTAACTTCGTACTAACCGAGTGTTCCACGACACTCACGTTTGATTTTTATCAATACAGGCTGTGCCTGAGCATCCTGTGCCTAATGGGGATCTGATGAGTGTGGCAGTGTCGGTTAACCACAGCACGCCTGCTAGCCGTTCCAGACCTATGGAATACAGGTAAGCAATTCCATAATCGCTTCTACACAAGAATTACTCTATCCATACCATAACATACCTACATTCATGTTTATTCACGCTATTTGCGGATACATTATTACCTCATTACACCTTAAATACGTCATAATGAGAAAATAGTAACCATTGAATTTAAAAGTAAATTCAAATTTATTAAATAACTTGATCGTCAATAAAGTTGACCTGTCTATCAAAGGGTGACTAGCTTTTGGCAGCATCTGCACTTTGTTTTTGATTTACCATTGTGAGTTTTTTGATACGATTTTATGATTAATTGATGGGCATCATCTTCCACCTTATTACAAATTGGGTCTTCAATTCCAACCAATTTGTATATGCCTCTCTCCAGTCCGTTATCATTATAAGTTAAGTAAGTATACGGAAATTGAGAATTTTTCAAAATATTTTGGGTATATTTATGATAACTTAATAACGGAAGCAGTGAGGTGGTAGGTAAGTATGTAAATATTTTTAGATCATATTAAGTGAAGAGTAAAATTATCCATAATCGAATTTGAAGCCGTGGCAAATGAAGTTAGCATGCCATCTTCACCTCAAATATATTATGGATTCATCTAAATTCTACTTTATAGCGTTACGATAAGATCTATTTTAGCAATATGAGTGAATGTGAAGTGTAAAAATCATCATTCCATTCGCTCAAAAGACTGTAAATTGAAGGTAAATTGAACACTGAGAGCAGAAACTGTCAGATTCACATCCACAGTCCGCATATGGTAGAATATTAAATTTGAACGAAACTATTATGAAGGGCTTACCTCCGCAAATCGTGTCCAGTTAATAGGTAACAAACTTCTGTGTGACGGTAAATTGAAGGGAATAAAACCCTTTAAAATAACACAAATAATGCCAAGCCCCAAAACTTTTGAAAGTACTATCGCCGTGGATTTATAGAGAAACTTTTAATATTTAATTATAATGTTAGCTTATACTAATATAAGAATATTTATTTTTATTATATAAGAGGAACTAGTTTTACCTCGCAAATTCAAAATGTTTGTTATGTGAACAAGTATTAAAGCGATACTCCTAAAGGAGAGTGAGTGACTAGAAACAATGGTTCGTAACCCTCTGAAACACGTTTTTAACTTTTGCTTTTCCTTTAGACGAAATGTTTTATGAACTATTATCACAGCCCCGAGCACGTTTCACTTACAGTTTTCCCTTACAATAATGACGCATTCTTCGAAATTTTCGCATTTGTGGTATCATCGTATTTTACAAATTTGGCACATTTATAAAAAAGTTAAAATCATAGGTTTTGATAAACACTTTGAGCATTTTCTAAATAGATTTTATGAGAACTAGGACATGATAAATGTAATAAACATAAACATATAAACATCCCCCCCCCCCCTTATTTGGGGTTAAAGCAATGAATGTGAAAACTCCGATAAACAAATTATAGTAATAAATAATAAATACACATAAAGTGTATTTTATTTTGCTTCAAAATCATTACAAACCATGTAGGTAATTAAATCAAAAATTAATATCATGGCGAATGAAGCTGGGGTGCCCCGCTACGCTAGAAGTATATAAATACATACTAGCAGTAGCCGTTTACTTCTTACAAACAAACGGAAGCAAAGCAAACATCCCAAAAGAACTGGCAAGAATACATAATATTTCACAAATAAAACAACAAACTGCCAACATGTAAGAGCTTGCAAACATTCTCGATAAGATGCTTGTTACATTTCCAAGTTTGCGGCAGTTTATTTGCTTGGTTGACTTTCTTTATATGTAATACTTAATGTATTGCTAAAGGATCTTGTTTGAAGTTGTCCTCGTTTACTTGAAAACTAACGGCTGTACTCAGAGAAGTCCGTTAAATTGTAAACTTGACTAAAGGAGATTGCTCAGCTTCCATACATGTTTGGCCTAAAAACCAATAACCATGAAAAATTGTTTCCTACATTCGAAATTATATATAAATTACCGTAGAAACGAATATTATCGACGGCCACTCCTGAGAACTTCTATAAACCATATACACTGAATGATTTTGAGGTTATGTTTGCAAATAGGCACATAGGTATTAGAATAATAAAAACCAAATAACTTATATAGGAAAATAGGGCAATCAAGCCAAGTACCGATATTATGTATTAGATTCAGGTATATAGAGCATGTAAAATAACAGATATGTGCATGTTTTTAAAAACACGAACAGAAACTGTGTGATGATTGTGAATGAGCCACAGATTAGAGAGAATTTTTAAACTCTCGTTAATCAAAGAAACCTAAGAGCTGTAGGTTATACAGCCATATCTTCAGCAGCTTCATTATTTTTGTTATGTTTTTATTATAACCATATTTTAGATTTTTAGTGTATCACACCTTATAATGTGTTTATTTAGGTGTTATGCAAAAAACGTACGGCAATAGACTTTATGATGTCGCCTACCATCTATATTAATTGTCTTAGCACATTTGCATGTAGTAAAAATGATAATAAAGTTGTGGATATTTTACAAAATAGATTTGTTTTGATGTTATATAAACAACCTCGATCAGTCTTTGTGAATGTTACTACACCCATAGCCAATAAAAATGATTCGTATGTTTTCCAAACCGGTAAAAATAGAAGTCCTTTTTTAAAATTAATATATTATTTAAAGGTGGCCGTTAAAATCTAATGACTGTAAAATAAAGTATAAATTACGCCAAGAATTACTGTATATGTCAATATTTTATTTGCATTTAGGCCAATTTGACCAATCTCCTTTGATGTTAAAAATACACTTTTCATTTTAATGGCATAAAAGTGTATTTATACGTAAGCCACTGCAGGAAATCTCAAGTAAATGGTAGTGGCTTTTTTACTCATGGTAGTGACATTAACTTTGATGCTATTAAAATCATGCAAATGCACTCTTTGCTGCACTGGGGTATGTACCTACCTATGGCAGTGCGCGCTTTAAATGTCATATTATTATAAAATATTTTCTACCCGCAGTTTCAGCTGCGTAAACTTCAGAGTTAATTTCCTGGAGAAGCTTCCACATGGATAAAACGTATCCTGTTTTAATCTGTGTGCCAAACACCCAAAGCCGTCGAGCCCCTTTGGATCATTTAGCAAGGATCATCGTAATATCTAAACAAACAAACTTTCCCATGTGGATAATAAAAAACGTCACCCGTACAATGCCAGGCTGAATTCCTCGGTGAATACTTATTACCCTAAACCATGCGGTAAATTGGAATGTCACGCTTGTGTTACCTGAAAATATACATTTATTTGATAAGAAATTAAAGTCACCCTTAAATTTTTTAATTACAGTAGAAGCTAAAATTCAAACCGTCAATTAAAAATTACCACAAACTAAAGTAAAAACTATTTAAAAACCACAATTAAATATAATTAGTTCCACAACGCTACCGCGAGTACCAACGGCAAGAATAGATCGGCGATTATAACGCATTATCCCCTTCTCAGGGGATGATCGCTCCAGATGAAGCTTTTAGTTAGTAAGTCTGACATAACCTTGCAGCCGGTTGTAGGGTATCTATAAAGATTTCACACCCCCTCCCCCGCCTGGGAGGAACCAAAAAAAATTAGGCGGTTATCATTCGTATGAAAAATAATAATAATATCAAATTGATTTTGAGTTAGAGACGCAGTTTAACTTAGATTTAGGTATTTTAGTTGAGATACATAGATTGATATTAATTGGTTTTTCTAATTTCCGATATAGAAAATAAAGATGCTCAAATATTTATGTTGTGGTAACTACAGAACCCTACACTGTGCGTGGCATGACACTCACTTGGCCGGTTTTTTATTTTTAAAACTACACGAACTACTTTTAAAGAATTTTTGAAATTTTCTTGTCTGAACCGGGAGTCGATCGCGCTAAAGGTAAAAAGGAAATTACTTTTAATTTGAATATATCAATCAAAAGGCTCAATCATGCACATCTATTTCTTCGTAGTTATTAATTGACATATAGACCTTATAACTAAAAAGGCTAGAAAATCCTTGGGGTTTGTGATTAGAGTTTGTTCGGAATTCAGAAACATTAAAGTGATGAAAATTTTATACTGTTCTTTGGTGCGAAGTATCCTCGAGTACGGTTCTCAAGTTTGGAACCCCTGTTATAGCGCTCACATTATCCGACTTGAATCTGTTCAGCGAAGATTCTTAAGGTATTTACAATACAAAAGTAGGACTTATGACTCTAGCTACGAGGAAAGGTGTCGTAGACATCACATCCTGCCCCTGAATGAGCGAAGAAAAATAGCAGATGTATTTCTACTGGCAAATATCGCTCAAAGTCTCATTGACTCGCCGGACGCACTAACAAAAATAGGTATAAAAATCCCTAACAAAACCGTAAGGCGATTTGTACATTTAGATGTTCCCCAATGTGGTACTAATTACAGACAAAACTCTTTTTTCGTAAGGTCTGCTAAAGAAACTAACAAATTAGTAAGTTTCCCCCAACTTGACTTATTTATAACTAAACCACAAATACTTAAAAATATCTTAGTCAGTTCTTGGTTTGCAGATTCTCAAACTGCCTAGCTTAATTAATGCATGCTTTAAGCGTCGCTTGCTGTTATATCTCAATTATCTCTAGTCTTATTACTTTCCTGTATTTTTCACTTGGCACTGCTTGTATGGTTTCAGCGACGAGCTTTGTATTGTTAGTCATATGCGAAAACGTGTTAATGGTGTCTAGATTTACATTTAGTTATAATTGCTGTTAAAAAAAAACACTGTACGTTTTCCGAATAAAATAAAATAAAATAAAATAAATAAATAATCAAAACCCAAATGGTTAAATTAAAATTCGTTTTTCGTCTGCGCCTTACCAAACCAGCCATTTAAAATTTCATTCACTGTTACCAAAATCTGATGGAATCATGTTTTCACCCCCAGGTTTTCCGCTATAATAAATAGTAGAATACATTACCACTATATATATACTATTGGAGATATTGGCAATTAAAAATAATCATGTCAGCTATCATGAAGCTATTTAAACAAGTGCCAAGAAGATATTGATTTATTTGAATACCTCTTCAAACTTTGCGAACTAACTTTAGTTGGACGGAGTTAAGTTAATGTTTAAACTGTTAACGCCCGTCGCCAAATTATGTTCTCGTTAACTCTAAGACTAACGGCTGTACTCAGAGAAGGGTCGGTACATATCTAACGGAAAATGCGTCGAGCCTATCATCGTTATACGTTATACGCTCGATGAATGTTTTATTGTATACTAGTGGCCCGCCCTTGCTTCGCTTCGGTGTAGAGCTGTAGTGTAGATTTAAGTGACTCTTCATATAAGTAATTATAAAAAAACGGAAAATGGTATATTTGCCTTTTCCAAAATTTTATTGACATTACGTCGCTCAATTGTTTTGCCTTCCCAGAACCTCTCCACTAACATTTGAAGTTCATGGTATGGTATTAAAGTTCAAATTGACTTTTATGTATTATTACGAATCGTTTGTATGGGAGTATAGAAGTGTTGTTTTTGGAAATTTTCAGGCATTTTTTTTATTTTTTCTCTGCGTAAGGACCATCCTCGTACTTCAAGGAATATTCTGAAAAAATAATTATCGAAATCGGTTCAGCTGTTCTCGAGATTTGCGCTTAGCAACACATTCAGCGATTCATTTTTATATTATAGATTTGCCTGTTCTGGCGTTACGCGGCTGATAATGCGCGACATATTTTCGGTCAGATATGTACCGACCCTAACATGTAAGTTTCACAAAATTTGATGACCTCACTTTTTGCGATAACAATAGAATGAGAAAACACTTAATTTAATGAAGCGTTAAATTTATTAGACTTTTGTACTCAGTACGGCTGTAAACGTGTTAAATAGTAAGATTTAGGAAAATGGTATGTAGACTGAAAATAAAAATACCTCTAACTAAAAGATAAGGAATTGTATTTGTAGATTGAATAACAGATGGCATGTATTTGATGTACACACATCAAAAGTGTCTAGGGATCAACATATATTTTTGCAATAACTTTTCTCCTGATTGATATTAATTAAAATTTTCTTTAAGGATTCATCAAGTAAAGTGTTTTCGTTTGTCACAGTAACGATAAACCAAGTCACCTTTGCATTAATAAAGAAATTTGCCATTTTCCTAATAAAGGGATTTTTGACATTTGAACCACTAACACAAAAGTTCGAAAAAAAGACTGAAATAACAGTTTTCTCTAAAATTTTATTGGGTAACTTAAACAATTAATAATCCGTATTTCTACCGCGAACACTAACAACACAAGAACATCGGTTTGGCATACTCAAAATGAGTTCATCCAAATCACGCTGTGGAATGGCCGCCCATGTTCGTTGCAACAACAAAAAAAGGTCTTCTTGCGACTGGATACCCTCCATATTCGGCAGAGCTCTTCTCTGTAGCATATCCCATGCATGCTCAATCGGGTTCAAGTCTGGCGACTGAGCAGGCCAGGGCAGGACATTGATGTTAGCTGCGGCGAGAGTCTGTCTTACAACTCTTGCGGTGTGCGGTCGTGCATTATCATGCATTAACTGAAATAAGGGACCGATTTGCACTTGTAGAGGAACGATGACGTCTGATACAATCGTCTCAGCATAAATTTGAGCGTTGAGGTTGCCTCTGATCCAAATCAACTCAGTTCTTCCGCCGATCCAAATACCCGCCCATACCATGATGGTTCCACCACTATAAGGATGGACTTCCTGACAGGATTTTAATCGCTGTTGGCGTCCAGGGGTTCTCCAGTGTCGTATACGTCTTGTATCCGGTCTCATACCAAAACGAGACTCATCAGAAAAGCACACGAAACGCCATTGTTCTTCTGCCCAATTTCTGTGTTCAAGAGCCCATTGATATCGAATCCTACGATTGTGCATTGCTATAGGTGGTACCCGTAGCGGTCTTCGGGAATGAAGGTTCACTTCATGCAAGCGGTTTCTGACTGTTTGGTCGCTAATTAAGTTCCCTGAAGAGTGATGAAGCCTCACGGCTAACATCATGGCGGTTATTGTTGGAGCTCTTCGAGTTAAGATTTGAATGTATCGGTCTTGTCTCCGTGTGGTGCAGCGATACCGTCCTCCATGGCGCTCAGCCACGGTACCAGTGCTTCGGTATCGTGTCCAAAGTCGACTGATAACACTCTGACTTGTATTCAGAGCTAAAGCCACAGTACGTTGCCGGGAACCAGCTTCTATCATTCCCACGGCTCTGAGCATTTCTTCCCTGCTTAAATGACGTCGCCGCTCCATAATAACGTTGGTTTTAATCAGTAGTAGGGAAACAGTAGCACTAATAATGTCTTCAATGCGTTGTATGTTTTTATAGGGAAAATATTGACAGCTGATTTTCATCATTTACTCGAATTTGATTCACAGTTCCTGATTCAAATTATGAAATGCACCAAAAACGATCCATATAAATTTATAAAATCATAAATTTATTACAAAGCCACATCTCAATCTCAAGAAATCCGCATAAAAATGCTTGATCCCTAGACACTTTTGATGTGTGTATTAGACATATTTTATGGTCTATATATAAAATATATCTAACTATATCCGAAGCACGAACAGCTAGCGAGAAAGTATTTGTATCGCCATGTCAAAGTTTATATGGAAAAAGCCAGTTTGCTCTTACGTCCGGTACCTCGCGCTGATCATAGAACTTTGACGTTGGCGATACGAATACGGATCTGTCAACGTTTGTGCTTGGGGTACTGATGCTGAAAATCCATTCAGAATTTTTTGAGTAGGTGGATTTACAGACAGATGTACTCGCCTACTATATGCTTATTCGCGTATGTTTCAATTTAGATGTATTTGCTGAAATGTATAAAACTTTTTTGTTTGATTTGTGAGAACGTTCTTGTTTTTTGTTCTTGTTAAATCGTGTAGGTATGATTAACTTTTGTAACAAGAACAGTTTTTGTTTATTCAGTCTCGTTGCTTTAATGCTTTGTAATAGGTATATCAGTAAGAAAAGTACATACGTATTACCTATGTATGCTTTTGATTAGTTTATTTAGGTAGGAGGTTGATGGCGCAGTGCTTAGCTTGTTAGATCTGAGATCGTCGAGGTTAAGCAACTTTACAGTGGGCAAATCTTTGAATCATCAAAATTAGATAGAAAGGTATATCATTAGTCAATCAATAATAGAGGATTATTGTTATGAAGAAAAAAAAAGAAAATAACTGTTTCATCACCTGCTTACCTTTGTAAAGCATCAAAGACAAAATATAATTAATAAAAAGCTCTTCCCACTATGCTGCATTATAAATAACTACTCTTAATGACAGGAAACAGGTGTGTCCTGATGAAAGTAAGTGAATAAATACTCTTAAGGAAAGGAAACAGGTGTGTGTCGATGGAAGTAACTGGTAACATCTAACAATATGTGGTCAAGGTTAACCCTTCAAGACGTGTTCACCCTGAAATTTAGGGAGCCCCAACATCATTTAATATTGAAATCGTTAACCCAAACACGTTTAAATAATTCTCATACCCTTCCAGGGTTATTTTTCTTTCATCTAGCTGTGCTAACTCGAGAAAATATCAACCTACCCTTTAAAAGTAATTCATTTCTTTAACACAGTGTGTATATTTTTTATCCATTAAACGTTAACTTTGTCTTACCTTGTTTTATGCTTTATAAATGAACCTTTGGTTGTTAGATCGCTTATTTTGAATATAAAATGCTTTCGTTTACTCTATGAACGATTCCAAAAACTAAGGCTGGGTCACACACGAAAATTTCTATTTTATGTCTGGCCAAGGTAATCATCCTAGCACGAATGTTTATCGCGACAAAGATGATCTTCGCATCGCTGTCGGTAAATTGGTGCGCATCAAATTCTATCGCGATTAAATTCGTGCGGTTGGCTACTTCGCGTTACAATTTGTAGACATGCGGCGTCTACTTCAATCTAGGCCTGTGGTTCCTAGGAATCATCTGAGTCGTTTCCAAGGCCAGTAGTAATCTGCATCATTAAATATCTTTATTTTTTTATCCTAAAATAATATTTATTATATAAGAAGTCTACCTAAATTTTAATACTTAAATTCTTTTGTTTTATTTAATGGTGGATGTGGTTAAAGCAAACGATTTTGCGGAGGCCTGTCTCCCGTGGTTCTAACTGAGTAAATTTCGACCTCCGTGGTGTGATTGTATGTTCACCGCTATTCAAGGTGTCGCCTACTTAGAGGTCCTGCGATCGAACCCTGGTGTGTCAAATATTTTTATGATGAATAAGAGCATTTGTACTTTTTTATTATTATTGTTAGAAAAACGCGTAATGCATACTTTGCCTCTAGGTGAGAGACGAGATTATGTGGGACTTCTCCTCCCCAAATCCCGCCCACCGCTCAGCCAGCCCATAGGACTGGTTCAGCGGCTTCTCGGGTTGAGGGGGGCTCTACCCACAAAATAATCCCAACAGTGCTTCCTCGTCTGCCGGTGCGGGTTTCGTGGGATCCTAAGACACTCCACGTTACCCCGGAAGGGGTTCCTCCTCCTCCTTACGGACAGGGGGATGGCTGGAAAAACCGGGGCATCCTCCCTCGGCAGATTACGAGCATGTGCACCTGAATTATGGCTGTATTATATTTCTATTCAAATATTTTTTCGACCTATAAATATATGGATTTCTATCCGTTACCTATATTCTATCCGTTAGCTATAACACAAGCCTTTACATTGCTTACTTTGGACCTAGGCTGATTAGTGAGACTGTTAGAAATATTTAATATTGGTGCAGATGGTCTACGGAGCACGGTCCTTGCTCGGTGTCTTGCGGCGGGGGCCTGCGGCTGGTGAGACCGCGGTGTCCTCATGGTCAACAGCGGTGCGCCCCCAACCGGTACGAGCGCTGCAACACACACAGGTTGGAACTTAATATTCTTCACAGGCATACATCATTACCCCATTAATGTCCCTACTGCTGTGGCACAGGCCTTTTCTATGGAAGGAATAGCGAGATCGGGCTATGACCCAACACGCAGGCGGGATTGTTGGGTGCTTACGACTGCAGGACGCACTGCACGGAGGAGCTCGAAATAGTATTTTCTTTTGTTAGCCATTCAATGAGCGGCCAATGCGAAAGTTCCGTAAATCAACTGTCGCAGCCGAATGTGCTAACTACTCGCGCCTTGATGGATCCACCTTACAGACATACATAAGACATAACAATATATTTTCTTAGCGAGGATGGCAGAATGTCTAGACAAATAATTATTAATTATAATTATCATCATACTGCTAGGGTACAGCAAGGGTATGCCAACTTAGCCGAAGAAATAGACAGCACGGGCTATACCCACCGCGTTGACCTACTACAAATTGATCGATATGAATGTCTGCAAATGCTGTTGGCGCCAACGGCTTAAAGTGCCTTTTGGACCCGAGATAATACATTTCTGGTCACCCTTCGCCCATCTCATATCATTGCAAAACTTCTACAGCCACCCATCGAACTTACTCATCCTAATGCCACCATTTTTGGCATTGGTCGGGCCACATCGGGCCTAAGATTTCAATGAGAAGATTGTATAGTCCCAGAACCAATAAATGATATTTAGCTTAAATAAAACTAGTTTAAACGGGATAATGCACGAAACTTTATTTATTTATTGACGTTTCGTAGCCTTTCCAGACTTCGTCGTAGTAGTTTTCTGACGACGAAGCCTGGAAAGGCTACGAAACGTCAATAAATAAATAAAGTTTCGTGCATTATCCCGTTTAAACTAGTTTTATTTAATGAGTGATGTGCGTGAAAACCTAAGAAACAGATATTTAGCTTTTCTGTAGACTTTAATACAACCGTGCGATTCACTATTTGACATATTATTTCACCAGGCTGCTTCTGAATTCCAAAATACAAAGAAACAAAGTTTCTGTTTCGGCTGACGCTGTTTCGAAGCCACAGAATAGGAGCGCAGCTGCCGTTTCGAACTTTGTTTTAAGGACTTGTACGTCTCGTATAGTATTCAGAAGAAAATGGAGAATATGTTGCACAGCAACGCTATTTTACTTTCAAATTATTCCTAAAAGACGATTCCGTTAATAATTTCAGTCACTGAGCCAGCAACTACTACGCGTTCGCTTCGAGTTGGCCGCTCCCAACCCCACTTCAGCGCACTGGGCTCCTAGACAGACCCTTTTAGTCGACGCTTTTGGTCGACGGCACAGAACACAGAGAGTTTATATTTGAGCAAACTTTCATAATTGGACCAAAACTTGGTTCTGATTGCGTCGTTGCTCTCGGATGTGAGCGCTGATTGGTTCGATCCTTTGATGTTGCGTCGTTTGATTGGCTATTATCTATTCAGTGGAAGTGTAGTAGAGGCGGGCCGGTGATATCGGTTTCCGTACAAACGGTCTATGATCACCCTTCTAACCTTTCTGTATTCTGTGGTTGACGGTACCAGTTGAAGTGCCTGTGATTGGCCTGTGTCACATTTTATAACGGTCATCGATGGCTATCTTGTAGCAAACGAATAGTGTTTGTTTTTGAGCAAAACCTGTAATCGTCCGAGCTCCTACAGACAATAAAATCACTCGCGCATAACGGCATTTGTTATTAAAGCATGTGAATTTGTCGCCAGTTGCGAATTCAAGTGGGCTGCGGGCGAATGGGAGGAATGCAGCGTCACTTGCGGTGTCGAGGGGACCCAGGAGCGGCAACTGTTCTGTCTCCCCGCCAACGTCAGGTGAGATTTATATCTGCTTGCTGCAATACTTTGGGTTTTTTTGCCATAACAGAACTTTGCGATTTATTTTTTAGTGCGAGTAGGCAGATGCTGAAGCGAAGACGATTGTTCTCTTTGTATAAAACAATCGGTAGCTTTTCTAAGTAAAATTACACGGCACAATTTTTTAGTAAATTTACACTGCTTAGGTATAAAGTATGACATAAAAATCTGTTTTACTGGATGGCAAATATTTATTTGTTTATAAGGAGGAACACCATAGAAAGTAACATCAAATCTTACAATTAGATTATACAACAGTGATACCTATTGACCTAGATAGTATTAGTCTTATAATAAATTACAACTCTGCAGAGGTTCACTATTTTATTGAATCACCAACTAGGACGACGATCGCAGCAAAAGTTACTCAAACTAAGGTGGAGCGCTCTTTTATAACTCTCCACCTCCACACATTTGTCACTTTTTATGAATTAAAGTCTTTATGCAGCTTGTCTATGAACGGTATCATAGCCAATACTTCATAAAGACGGGCACATACCATCCCATAAGGTTCGCAAAGCCAATGTCACCATACAGCTAACACGGCATACAGCCTACGTTTATGCAGCCACCTTGAATACGAATGATCAATCGACATTGCATCGATTAATCATTCAGATATCAAACTCCGCTACACCGGAAGTGTTTCCGCGTACTAACAAGTCATATTTAAATTATAGAAAATGGCAACATTGGCATAACGTCACATACGGAATGTCATGTCATCAAAACATACTAGCGTTAGAAAAATAACATGTTAATAATCTGATATTCTGGAGGGACTTATTTAAAGTACAATATTTACTAACAGTAATTTAATAACTGAACCAGTTTAGCCATTGTTTAGTTACGATGTTTCTTTGTTTATTTTACTTTTATCTATAAAAATATTTTTCTTTGACAGTGCATCGTTAAGGCAAGACATGATTCGGTATAGTGTGTCGCCAGCGCTTTGTCCATCGGAGAAGCCAAGTAAGCAGCAATCTTGCAACCGAATACCCTGCCCAGTGTACTGGCAGGAGTTACCGTGGACACAGGTAATTCAAAATTGTAATTTTTTTTAAGATTCTCCCTTTTTAGGGAAGGCCAAGGGAACAATGCCCGTACATCCTAGTCTTAAGTTATATTAATCTTCTTTTTTTACATTAGAATGTCGGTGTGACGCATTCTAATGCTTCTTGGAGTGTTTGGCACGAAATGTATTAAGTTGACTTTTTCGATAAGCTTCTGTGAGGTAGTCAATACTACAATAAAGTTCTCTTGACCTGAACTTGACCGGAATAGCGTATATTTTAAAGATTCCACTAATTTTTCAGATGCGCAGACGGTTGTAACACAAAATCACATCAATTTTATTTCACAATAACCACTATGAACGAATTTTAGAATAATTAAAATAAGACGCCAACCGCACCCGATGAATTGCTTCCAAAACGCTTTTTAATTTTTTATGTTTATGCAAGCAAACGAGCTGACAGTCCACCTGATGATAAGTGGTCACTGCCGCTTATGAACACTTGCAGCACCAAGGGTACCACTCATGCGTTGCCGGCTCTGGAGGAAAAGGTTGACCCGCCTTTTGAAGACCTTCATATCATAGCTAAAAGGGAAAATCGCCGAGGGAAGTTCGTTCTAGATCTTGTTGGTACGCAAGAAGAAGGAGTTTTGAAGAAGGATTTTTTTGAGGAATTTATCCTTCCATCCGCTTTAGCTGGTGTGCCTACATCCTTGAGGATTTCAAGGGTACAACCGGATGTTGGATTATTTAAGTTATAGATTATCTAACTGACAAAAGGTTTCCATTACATTCAGGCAATTACGCCACACACTCAACTAACATGGGGGGAGTGGTGAAGACAAATATATGATGTGTTATTAAATATACGTTTCTCAATAATAATTTTGTGGTGAAGACATATTCTATATAAGAAATATTCCGTGCTACTGCATACGATTTAACACTTGAAATTACATACAATGATTGGTCGAGCACAAAAAGTTTAAAGATGTTGTACTCTCATAATAGCATAAGCATAATTTTTAATTTGCAAGCATATCTTTCCTATTACAGAATTTGGAATAAACTTAGCCTTGGTTTTAACATAACGTTGTCTTTGTCTTCTTTTCAGCAAACAAAAGTGACGGCATCAATTTCACGCCGTGTTACTTTAGTCAACATTTTATAATAAGACGGATCGTGTCATTTTTTTTACTAATCTTTGAAATTGATTTGCAGTGTTCCACGACTTGCGGCAGAGGTGTTTCCTATCGTCCTCTCTCATGTCCTGCGTCGGACGATCTCTTCTGCGGTCCAAAACCGCGCGAGCGTCGCCGTCGTTGCCGCGTACGGAAATGTCCTTCCCCCCGCATTTCGCGACCTTGCCTCTCGCAAGACGCTACCCAGTACTGCGAGTTCTTTAGTACCGAAGAGCTGAAGAGAAACTGCGCGGTTCCACCGTTCAGAAAATACTGCTGCAATGCGTGTAGAGAAGTCGACAACACAATAAAGAGAAGGAATTTAGGATGAACATTGTTTAGATCTGTTTATTAGGTTATGTTGTAGGTGCTTATTATATTTTGGAAACATGAGCAATAATATGAAGTAAAGAAGATTTTCAGTGAACCGCCTCTGCCCCACGCAAGAGGCTACCCAGAACTGTGAGTTCTTTAGTACCAGAGAGCAGAAGAGAAACTGCGCCGATCCATCGTTCAGAAAATACAGCATATCAAGGTTTAATCGAAGGTCATTAGCAAAGCAATTTTTAACCGGGATGGAAAAATATTGAAAAAAAAACAAAAATGGGTGAACAAGACATTTAAAAAGTATTCTTCTTCAGCAATAAAAAGTTGCTAAAGTAGGTAAAAATAAATCAGGAAATCATTTTTAAATAAAATGCGATTTTTCTTTTTAGTTGGCTTTTAACGATTTCCATATAATGCTAGCAGAAGTTTCGTCATGTGGGCCGCTGCATGTATAAGCAAATGCGTGTAACATCTTCTCTATAGACTGCCACTAAATTACACGCGCAGGTCGCGTCGCAAAACACAACGCCTAACGTTTCGTGGCACTGTAAACACGCCCTAAATAATTGTAACCAATATTGTACCAATGTAACCAGTATTTTTAATAATAAACAAATGTTGTATATCGAAACACTATTTATAATTAGCGTAAGTTTAGTTCAGTATGGTAAATAATAATAAAATGCAAAACTAAGTGCCATAAAATATGAAACAACTTAGTGAATAAATAATTAGTTACTATGATTGCTCGTTTTATTTGTATATTAATTCAGATTTTCCTTCATATAAGGCGCAGTAAATTAATTCATCCCACCTGATGTAAGTATAACTGGAGTCCAGTAACCTTAGCACGAACCAATATCGCATACGAATGACAATGTCAAATGACAAAAAGTTTTAATTAAATTTTTAATTTTTACGTCCATTGCTGCGCTGTTAAAATTTCCTTATAAAAGATCTTGACATTTAACTCGTATCGAGATTGATACTCGGTCGTTACTCTACGGATGGGTGACCAGAATAGTCATCCCGACGTCAGAATGGTTGGTCACCTTAAGGCGTTTGGCAGACGACGGGGCGGGGCGGGCATTTTGTCCGCGAAGCAATAAAAACCGCGTCTGCCCGTCGATGTCTGCGGCTGCCCGCGCCGCGTACACAAAGCACACGACGGGCAGAGGCGGTCAGTTCAGGACGTTCGTTCTAGTGAATAGTCCATCACTAAAAAGCGCGTGGCGCGGACTGAGCTGACCGCCCCGCGCCCCCGTCTGCGTTACTGCATATAAACTGGTTTGTATGATCCACGGCGGGCAGCCGCGGATATGCCGCGCCGCCAGTGCCCGCCGGGCACCTGCGGCGCGGTCTTTTTGCCCTCTGTGTGCGTTTGTAATATAGGATTCACTTTGTGCTATCGTTAAATGCGAAATTGACCGGCCCGCCCCGCCCCGTCGTCTGCAAAGCGCCTAAATGGTTTGATTTTGTTCATTAAATATTGAGGAAGCAAATGCCTCATGTTAGGAAGCAAATAGAAGCAAATGGTAAGCAATTCTTGGCAGTTATATCCAGTGATTTCAACGCTGAATACAACTTACACCCCAATCGTCATATGTTTCATAGATTACCAAAAAGCTTTCGATTGTGTAAGCTGGCGGCATCTGTGGTGTGTACTGGCAGCAATGGGAATTGCACTGATCAAGAACCTTTACAATACCAGTCATGGCACGGTCAAAGTCAACATAACAAGGTCTGCCACATTTAGATTCGGAAAAGGTGTTAGACAAGGTCAAGGCATCATAATATCTCCATACTGTTCAATATATACAGTGAATACATCATCCGCAAAATGCTGTCCTTCAGCAACTAATTAGCAAAGATGAAATGCAATGAAATGAAACGTCCCAAGCCATTCAACAGAACCCGTGGCGAATTAATGGTCCAAATCTTAATGAAGCATTGTTGCTATTATCTCCTCCTCCAAAGTCCTCTTCGCGCATCAGACAAAAATATCTTTGTTAATATTGACAAATATATAAAAGAAACTTAGCCAAAGGGTTCAGCATTAACGAAAAGTGAAATTTCACAAAAAATAATAGAAGCCACAGGTTCATTTTACCAAATAATTATTTTACCTCAATATGTATTACTTCTGTGTCGTTATGTATTTCAGTCTATACCAAGAAAAAAAAGAAGAAGACAATTTTTTAATTTAATTGGGCAATTGTCATCGTCTTCGGTGTCCTCATTTGGTGAAAAGAGTGATTAATTTAAAAATTAATCTAAGTATTGCTTGTACTTGATAAGAGTAGTTTATGTTGAAAATAAAAAATAAAAAATGTTGTATAATTTGACTCAGAGTATCTGTTAATATCAATAATACATAATATAAGTAATATCAATATATTATTATCATATTTCATCATTATACATGACATGAAAAGGTTCCAAAAGCCTGCTTCTTTCAGCTTCTTTTTTTAATGTTATCTGGAATGAAGTTGTAGACCATGTAGGATTATTTATATTATGCCGATTTACTGGCAAATCTCTTTGCGGCTAACTCCCGAATCGATGATTGCAATGCACTGCCACCATCATTACCTCACTGTGGCACAACGATGCCTGATATTAAAATCAGGCAGCGTGAGGTTCGTGCCGAATTGCAATCACTCGACGTCCGGAAAGCTAGTGGACCTGATGGCATCCCAGTAGTGTAGCGGAGTAATGTGCAGCGGAGTTGTCTCCCGTGCTCACGCGCTTGTACCAATGCTCGTATTCTTTGGGGCGTGTGCCGGAGACTTGGAGAGATGCTAACGTGCAACCGGTGCCCAAAAAAGGGAATCGCTCAGACCCGGCAAAGTACCGGCCAATAGCCGTCACCTCAGTTTTATGTAAAGTTCTAGAAAAGGTCCTTAATAACCATCTGACCCGCTACCTAGAGGATCACTCCCTGATTAATGATCGTCAATATGGATTTAGACCGAAACGATCCACGGGTGATCTTCTAGCGTACTTAACTCATATCTGGGGTGAGGCTATCGACAAGCATGGCGAGTCGTTGGCTATCAGCCTTGACATTGCCAAGGCGTTCGACAGGGTCTGGCACAAAAGCCTTCTCTCCAAGCTTCCGGCATACGGTCTGCCAGCCCAGTTCTGTTCTTGGGTAGCTGACTTCCTGCATGAGCGTAGAATTCGTGTCCTTACGGATGGTAGCAGTTCGCGGTTCATGTCAGTGAATGCCGGCGTTCCCCAGGGCTCCGTCCTATCCCCCACTCTCTTTTTGCTGCATATCAATGACTTGATTCCTCTTGGGAATATTCATTGCTATGCAGACGATAGTACAGTGCATGAGGGGTATCTCGGACAAGCAGCGGCTGGGCAGGCAGTAACCAAGGAGAAACGGGAAAATCTTGTCATTGAACTCAATCAGGCTTTGGACCACATTTCCGAATGGGGTACCAGGAACTTGGTTGAGTTCAATGCCAAGAAAACTCAGGCCTGCGTTTTCACGGCAAAAACATCGCCATTCCTTCCCCTTCCATCTCTTCAGGGCACACCACTACCGCTGCAGAGCAACATTTCCATGCTCGGTATGGAAGTTCGCTCAGACCTGAATCCAAAGGACTACATCGAAACCGTGATCATAACAGCTTCACGCAAACTCGGAGTCCTGAACAAGGTGCGGCGTTTTTTCACGCCCGATCAACTGTGTTTGTTGTACAAAACGCAAGTGCGGTACTGCGTGGAATATTGCTCGCTCCTCTGGGATGGCTCCGCCAAGTACTTGCTCGATGCTTTGGATAGGTTACAGCGGCGCGCGATCCGCATCATAGGCGATGAGAAGGTGACTAAACACCTTGAGCCTCTTCAATTACGCCGTGACGTGGCGTCACTAAGCGCGTTCTATCGTTTGTACTACGGCGAGTGTTCTGAGGAGTTATTCTCTCTTATCCCACCTTCCCCTTTCCTTCAGAGGACCACGCGCGCTGGCCTACGTTGTCACCGTCTTACTGTGGCGACAATTCCAACGCGTACAACGAAATTTGGTGACTCATTTCTTTGTCCCACTATCCGTAAATGGAATGCTCTGCCCGCTCACGTGTTCCCTCCTTCTTACAACCTGGGATCCTTTAAAAGAGGCGTGAAGAAGCAACATGCAGAAAAAAAAGGAGTGGCCCATACATAATGATATTAGGTTAAGGAAGAAAGACAACTGAAAATGTTAAATCAGTGACGAGCATTGTTTTATTAAAAAAAGATATGTTTTTATCACAGGTTTTTATATACATAATACCATGATACTTGCTCTGCAGATGTATAAGATTACTGTACGTTACTCATATAAATTGCCAATTAAAAAAGAAAAGAAAAACAAACAACGATACAATACTAGAAATCTTAAACATATTCAAATCAAAGTGCATGATTACAAAATGTTAAAATATCCAAACAAAATATACATAAGCCATGTGAGTGCATGATGCATAAGCCTGTGTTGTCTCGAAGGTGCTCCTGCTCTAGTCCTCATGATAGTGTCAGTGTAAATACTGAATAATATTACATATATTACTTATTCTCTATTTTACCGTTTTAGATAATGATATTTAATAACGAAATTACAAATAGTTTGATTTTTCGAATTTTGACGAATCTTTGTTTAAAATACCTGCTTATTCTCTTGAAATTTCAACTAGTATATCTTACAATTTTGATATTAAGTAATTGTCAGTTTTTTTTGTTTTATTTGATGATTTGTATTTATAATATTACTTTGTTATCAGTACATAAATGTACAATTTTGACCTTGCAAATAATGTATACAACCACAATTACTAAGTAAGTTGTGGCGAAGTCTAAATCACGTCTTCTTCGTTTTGCTAACACTTCCCCGATACGATAAGGTATCTTAGGCCCGTATTACAGAATAACAACTAAGTGTCGATCTTTACTTGAGCACAGTTAGAAAGGGATGGCGCTATGTGCTATACAGAGCGACATCTCTTTCTAACTGTACTCAAGTAAAGATCAACACTTAGTTGTCATTCTGTAATACGAGCCTTAGCCCGTAATGAAGGTTTAGTGAGCAGTATACAAGATGTAGGATAAGTTAATAAATTGTCGATTCCACATTGAAGTTCATCATTTTTCCCGTGAATCACACATACCCCATCACCACATGGCGATCGTGATGTAGAAGATCGTGCTGCATCGGACGGAGTCCATTATATGAGTTATTTGAAAATTTTAATTGACCAAGACAGCATATTATGGAGCGCTAAGACAAAGAAAGGTTCGCAAAACTGAAGACGAGATGATTATTGAATAACGGCAAACTACAAACTTATTACATACACACTCAGTAATATATGAAGGTACATTGAAAATGAAGATTATATTCTAATACTGAAAAAGTGCATGAAAACGATTACGTTATGAAGAAAGGAAATCACGAAGCTGCATTCAATGACAAATAAATTAATGTGGCCTCAGTTTTAGTGTAAAGCTTAAAAACTGTAAGCAAAGACATTTTTTTGTTGTTTTCTTAAAATACGGAATATTATTTAACGTTAGATTTTGTTAAAAATAAATGAGTATTAATATCTTAAAATGCAGCTAAACAGTTTATTCATCTTATTTTTTTATATTAGTTTTGTTCGGTAGACTTTAGATTTTTAAATGTTTATTAATGTATTTTCGCAATTTAAAGTTTTAAGGTTTTATTTGTAAAAATGGCAAGATTTGATTTAGGGAAT